CGATGAAAAAATATAAATATTCCCAAGGAAAATACCTAAATAAACTACAGAAACTTGTTAGCAGGGTTGCATCTCGCAGGACAAGTCTGAAAATATATTTAATTACCATCAGGTATTTTGTTTCTATCACAGAAAACTTTTAAAACACATTAGGTACGTATATGGCGTTATATCTAGCTAGCAACTCCTGTCCAAGTATAGAGAAGTATCTCCCAGATACACGCGCCGATGAAATACGTAAAGCTGAAGATCGCTTTAGGCATTGCGTAATGAATGTAAACCTCTTCAACTTCCATCTTAGTGGGCTAATTTTAAAATTATTGAGGTCATAAAACCTACATGGATCGAACCTATATTATTGCTATATGATTTGGTAGAATATATTCGTGCATGGGACTGATTACATATAACGAAGAAGTAACAAGCTGAAAAGTCTTGTTTGAAAACTCTCCCAAAAGTTTGCATTTCATAAAGTCGGGCAGAATCTGATGTAGCAGAGCAATAAAAAGCTGCGAAAACTCTCATGTTTAGATCCTAATAAAAAGAAATTATTCAAAGTACGTTAAGGAAAAAACTTGCTGAAAAAATAGCTAGCTCATTTAACTTCTGTATAAGAGGCATTTTTGGCGCTTTTAACTAGTAGAAATGTTTTGTAATGTCAATAGGAAACCGTGAACGCAGAGTACCTGGCGACAACTAGGAGTACAGCAAAATTTGGTATTTCATGTCGTCGCAGAAATTCATATTAAACGCAGATGAATGGAGGTAGTATATTAATGAAGAGATTTAAAAGCTGTAGTGTTGGATAATTTTTCTGAAGAGAGGCTTAGAATATTCTCAAGCTTTAACCTGACAGCTAATATTTTTAGCTTCGGCAGTTTGAGTTTTATCCAAACTTTATTGAGAAATTTTGACTACCATCGAAAACTAACTTTTCATTTTGGTTCGATACTTTCTCTTTCAGATGTGGAAATGAAATTCACTCTAGTTAATTTCGACAAATTGTAATATTCTTCATGTAATTAACGCAGCTGACTCATTAATCGCAATATATCCTTACGAAACGTCAAGCGCGGTAAGAGAGCTTCCCCGCAAAGCAGGTTTAGGGTTGCCAGAAATGGCTAGGCAGGACTGCCATATTTGGCGAGAAATCGTCCATTTTTCGACAAAATGAGTGATGTGCATAGACTGATGGAAAACCTTCTGTAACGACTTCTTACTGGTTTAGCCGATAATGTTTTCGAACCCAAGCCAAACGCTATACGTGGAGAGTCGGTCAGTGCAGAGTCAATACAGTAGTCATTGAGTCAGTGAGTACCTAGTCGAGTCTGTTAAGAGTCGGTGAGCGAGTGTCTCGTTTAGTGCCGAGTTGGTCGTCGAGTGCATCCAGAGAGTCTCTTAGTATATCGCGAGTTAGTGCACCGTCGAGTTTTATCTTGGACTGTGTTGAGCTCCGGGAACGACTGAACTGAGTCGGGAGCTGTATTCTATTGCATCGTGGAGTGCTTCGCGAGTTGTAGCGGAGTCTCGACAGTACGTAGAGTTCCGAGAACGACAGAGCACAGTCGAGAGCTGTATTCTAGCGCTTTTCCGTGAAGCTGTGTCCTTCACCGTTATAGCCTGACAGTCTGAAGGCTGTGTCGCTGATTGTTTCAGCGTGTTTATAGTAGTTCTTCGACGACTGTAAACGGGTTGTTGGAGCTCCTTGAATAATACTGGATAATAAATCGTGTTTCCATTCTTCATAAAGTGCTGTTGTCGTTATTCATTCTAAATCCGCGAACCCTTAAAGTGAGGAGAAAAATGTAAACATATTGATGATTTATTTGGTTGCTAAGTAATTTCTTACTTCTAAGTATATATTAGTAGTAGAGAGTAAGACGAGACTAGAAATTGCTTTTTCTAGTCAATTGATTCCGAAAGTTTTCCTACTGGTTCGGTAAAACATGGGGGGGGGCGAAGTATTTTTGTATGTAAATTCATTTCCGTGTCTGTTACGTCACACAAATATATCTGTTAAATTTCATTCAAAGGAAAAAAATTTATAATTTAGGAAAATATAAATCTTCATTAATGTTTAAACAGCCAAAGTTTAGCTAGAAAGAGAGTATGAAAAGGTTGTACGCATCTGGTGCATAAATCATTTTACTGGAAATTCGAGTTGATGGGGGATAAAATTGAAATGTTTAATCATCTTATCGGTATCTTATTTTTTGGCAGAATAATTTCCAAAACTTTTATCTCAACACAACCTAAAATGACATAAATTAAAAGGAGCTTTAAAACCGTTCTTTCATGTTGAAAGCTAGACTTGAACCGCAATTGCTACAGTAAAATATATCAAAGGGTTGAGATCTTGACATTTTTTGTGCTTCTCTGTCGCTTATTGGGCCGAACTGATAATTGCTGTGGGGGCCGCATGCCGACTGTGGTTTGAGCACTCCTGCTATTGCGTGTTGAAATTGAATGTTGTAAGCTTTGACCAAGGTGAAATTCTGGTAACTAAAGCAAATCAGAAAATTGTTCCTTAAATATTCTTATTTTGCTTTAATATTTGATTTATTTTATGTATTATTCGTTCCAATTTTGTGTGCGGTTGTTTTGAAAGAAATATTCTGAAAACAATACAACAGAATCTTAGGTATGCGTTCCAGATGTGCTGTCCAGTATCTAACCATTGTATGTTAATAAGAAAGAGCCTAACAATCGGAGGTTGCACATTTTTGATAAGCAAAATTTGGGGAACTGGTTTAGAAAGACGGCTAAAAGATAAAATTGCTGATTATTTGAGAACGAATGATCCAATACTGGACATTCCAGGTTTTGCAAAAAATATAATATTAGGTTTCGAAAAATAATTCTTGGGCAATGTTGAATATGTTAAGGTTTAGACTGTTTGTGGAACATCCAGCCAGTTACTGGTAACTTCGAAGCTATTTTTAAAAATATATAATCGCATGTTACCACTGTAAGACTATGTTCTACCTTACAAACTAAAAATTGAACTTCGAATTCACAGTCCTACAAAGTTGCTAAATATTGAATTCTGGTGTAAATAATTTTTGAAGTTAAATTTGATTGCGTGGAATTTTCAGTTCTGCTTGGATATCGTAGGAAAAACTGGCTTAGGCGTTATGGTAACTTTTGGCATCAATATTATATAATAATCTAGAGCAATGATCGGCAAACATTTTTAGAAAGGGCCAGGCATTTAGGCTGTAAAACATTTAGGCTCAGTGGGCGAAGTAACAAATATGAAGATATGAATGGGTAATTTTCTCATACAGCAAAAGGAGTTCATTTATTTTATTGTGAAGTGAAACTTTTAACTTAATTATACACATTTTACTAACAGCTACAGAAGAGTTAAGATTAAAGTTTGAGTTAAAATTGTTATTAAATACATCAAAATTTCTAATGCAAACAATGTAATTGTTTTTCTGGGAATGCTGGAGTTCGTAATTAGTGTTTCCTGCCATTAACGTAATAAATGGTCATTAATTGTATATGAATTGCGATTTTGCATACTTCATTTTCGAAAATGCTATTCGCATTGGTAAGTACTACAAATACGGATATCCAACCCTGTGCATTTAATTTTAATTGAGCGTATTTATCTTCCGAAAGAATTTATAAAATTGATTGAGATAATTTTTTATAAACATCCCTTTTTACATAGTGTGTAATTCGGTCACTTCCAGCTGAAGGTCTGATGAAAGCACCTCAATTATACTGTCAAATGCTTTTGAAAATGGATGGAAAATATCTTTGGCACTGACATCAAGATTCAGAAAACGTTGCTGTAACTGTAGTACAAGTTCAGAAAGTGTATCATGTGCGAACTGTTTTTGGGAATGGGGATTTCGCTAATTTGAATTTTTTTATAGCATAGAAGATGGTCAAATTTGTTTAATGTTATTTGCGTTCCAAACAATGAAACGTTTCGGCAATATGCCTTTACGATAGAATACACTTGAGTTCTCTTGTACCCCTGTAATTTTAAATTGAATTCATTGAAATATACCAATACATCTGCGTCAAATGATAATTTCTATAGCCATTCTCTGTTCAATTATAAAAGTTGTGGACCATTTAAAGAAACAAAATCCGACTTCTCTTCGGTTCGAAGAATCTCTGGAAAACTTTCTGAATGCTGAGCGATCGAACAGCTGTTTATTAAACCGATATACAGCTTCGATCGCCAATAAATATTCCCTTTTATCACAGTTATTATATCACTGCATATTAAACATAAAACTTTGTCATTTAATTCTCACTCCATTCTGCTTTAAAAGAAAAAAAAAGCTGTCAAAAAGCGCAGCGCACAGTGCACAAACACTCGGCTGTTTCGAGTGCTTTTAAAAACTGCAAACGAGGGAATACGACAGTAGGGCCACTTGTGGCCATTATTAGCATATTCGCAAAGAACTATTTTGCTGAGTAATGTTAACAGGTCAAAGAAATCAAGTTACTCTATTGCTTATTGCGATCATAACAACGCAAGGGCTTTAAGTCTATCTGACCTGCAATGCACACAACGCATCCAATAAGCATGGGAACGATTTGACGAGGGAAGATGTTTTGTTACATTCAAAGTGGCGGTTAAAATTACTATTTACCTAAATATAGCTGCGCGAAATTAATAGTCGACCGTTTTTTGAAGCATGTGCAAGTAAGATCACTTGAATCGCATTTGCAATTATTCTATATTTCGACTCGGAAATAAGTTTTTGATATTTATGTATAGCATATAATTAGGCGGAATCCTTTTTTACAAGCTGTTGACAAGCGTAAACTTGTTCGTAAGATTTTCGTCCATAATATGTTTTAAGTTCGTGTTCAAACATCCTAAGTATTTTCTAATGTTTGACAATATATAAGTGAAATAAAATCACATTTTCTATGGAATCGTTACTTAATCTATACTAAATGTTTCTTGAAATGTATTCAACTATATCCTCTGTTAACATGCTTCATTGGTATTTTTATCGTATATTCAGTAGGTACTCTCCTCTGGCTGGCGATCTTTTGGCAAATCCTCTTCTTGCTGGGAATGCTATGAATGGCTCTGGATGGTGCATCTTCGTCTACAATTTGGCGCCGGACACTGAAGAGAACCTCCTTTGGCAATTGTTCGGTCCTTTTGGAGCGGTCCAGTCGGTCAAGGTCATTAGAGATCTACAAACCAACAAGTGTAAAGGCTTCGGATTCGTCACAATGACGAATTATGACGAAGCCTTGGTGGCTATACAAAGCCTCAATGGATACACCCTCGGCAACAGAGTGCTTCAAGTTTCGTTCAAGACCAACAAGTGCAAGACATAAGATGAGCAGAGTGTTTCACCAGTTGCAGCGAGTGATCGTTTTTTCCCCTCATTGGTTTCAACCGGAGTTACATTTTCCATTTTGTTTTTGTGTCTAATTTTCGTACGTAAAAGTCAGGGGAGCACATGTACTGAACTGAAGCGTACTGGTATGCGTACGCCTCCTCTGACCAAAGGACTCCGCCTCTGTGGGGAAAAGCATTCCTTAATCGGACTTGTAAACCTTTCGTACGGCATCACCAAAATGCAAAACAATGCGTTGTGACACACTGGGGCAAGCTGGATGAGAGTGGTCTTGTTGGTCGTCTTCTAGTCAGTATAGTGGGTATTTTTGCCCTTGTATCAATGTTAAAATGAAAGTATTAAAACTTTATATGATGCGGATATCATAAGGTGCACGGTATAGATGAATTTAGACTGTATGGTATGAAAATAAACCCGTAAGCGGTTAAATCAAAACTAGGTATGTTCATCTCTGGAGACTTGCTTCTCATATAGCTTGCTCCTTTCTAGAATTCACAAATTCAGAATTTTTGTTAAATCTTCAATGTGATGCTTTGAATTTTGGTGATGCCTCAAAACTAGTCATATGTCTCGATTTATATACTTGTTAACTATTTAGAAATATGAAATGAAAAATTAAGATTTACATTAAGCATAATCTGAAGCAAAATAACAAATGAAAACCAAAGAAATTTTGAAATATTGAAATGTTTGTCAGAAGGGTGCGTGCATTCTTTATAAACTATGGAAAACATTTAAATGTTGATTTGGCAAGTCAAAAAAAAGTATCCTTCTTTGTTAGAGTTGTGTGTTGGCAATGTCTGCATACTTTGAATTTTACCACTATGCCCATCTCCTGTAGTTGTATTGTGCTATTTAGTCATTCTCTACTTAATAATTTTGAACTGAATCTGAAAGTTTGCAGTTCAAAAACTATGTGCGTGTTTGGGCTGTGTGATGCAGATACTCTAGTCAGGTCAGTTAGAAGCCACACATGACTTTTTAGGAACATTGACATGTTATGGCAAAATACACACCATTTTAACTTAATTTTTAGTGTGTTAATGTCCCGTTGATATATACATATATATAACACATACATAGCACTATTTATTACTAGATTTTCCCACTAGTGCTTTGCCAAATCTGTTAGCTTACTAGAATATATTGCATATGTTTGATTCAAGTGGAATTTTTGAAAGTTATTACTATTTTTTCCCTTTGTGTTGCTTTGTATTTGCTTTGTCATGTTTATTGCAAGATTATTTTTGAATTTTATTATTTTGCTTAGCGTAACCTAAGTTCAGTCACGCTTATAAGCACGTAGCTTTGTTTATTTTTAGTCACGACGTAACTTATTTTTTTCACTTTATGTATACTTTATTATTAATTGTGAAAAATAAAACAAATTTGTACTTTTTGTTTTCGGCAATGGCTGTCGGTTTTCATTTACGTACAGCATGTAACCACCAAACTAATGCCTCGAGTTTGCTGACTAGTGATCGCTTGGCGCATTCTTCCAGGTTCAGTAGGTAATGGCAGGGAATTCATTACGAATGAAAGGGCAAACGCGGGCATTGTTTGTTGAATGTGTTTAATTGAGCTGTAGGTTAAATGCATGATCCTTTTTGTACTCCATCATCCCCCCAAAAAGTTGTTTTCGCCTCGCTTACCATCGTGTTGTACATTTTTAAGTGGAAATTCTGAACATTCCTTTTATTAAAAACATGACGGGGGCTCGGGATGAAAAAATCTGATGCCTGCGGTACTAAATTAAAAATGCGTTCCATAGGGCTTTCATCTCAGCTTGGCATTTAGTTCTGTGTTTGCCATTCCTGTCTACATGGTGCTACAATGCTTGTAAAATGTACAATTTTATGCGTGAATCTGATGTTTAAATGTTGCTGTGTCAATAGCACAAAATGGCTTTCACATGCTGCAAGTTCCATTACTGTATTTAGCAGATATGTTTTCTCGTAATGAGAACCAGCTTTAAATCTTATTTGGGCCATCATGCTCAATAAATAATATCAATGGTGCTGACATATGTAAATTATACAAAGAATGAACTAAGTTAATCTAGGAAATGGACATTTCTCGAGCCCCCGTCATCTCTGATATTGCAAGCAAAAAATACAACTATGTCTCTCGCACAAAATAAACGCAAAATTTGAATTACCAGTACATCCGTCTTGCTTCTATACCAAAAACGCTTCAGTCACCTCTTTGTCTAACTGAATCGCGTGAAATAAAATCTTAACTAAATTCTCTCTGAGTCTAAATTTTAAAAGCTGAGTGAGATGAGACTAAATGGTATACACCGTACATGCCACTTTTGAGCCACAACATGATATACACTTCCACTAGAGAAGTCTATTTTTATAAACAAGTCCTAGAACACCTTGTTGGTAGTGCAACTTTTAAACTTAAAAAAAATACGAATTTTATTCCTGAGAATGATGGAATAAAAATGGTAAACAATGGTGAGATTTATCCAGGTTGTCATGATAGGATGCTGATGAATGTCAACCGTTATACGCCTCCAATATGGATCTTCCACGCTGGCCTGCCCTACATATATATATATATATGTATATTTTCCACTAATGTTAGTGGATATATATATTAGCTGATATTAAGCGTGTTTTAATACAAAATAAAATACAAATGAAAAGTGATTTTTTTTTGAAAAAATATGCTATTTCTTGACGGTAAGCTAAAGGATGAAGCTCTTGTGGTCTCAACTTTGTACATATATATAGCGGACGTAGTTGATGGTAGAAATTTTTGATAAAAGGAGCTACATATTACTTTCGACGGTTTTAACAAATTGTGTACGCAAGCACTCCCTGTTGCAACTGCTGAGTGATAGTTAATGGGATTTTGTGCATATTAAAAGGCGGCCTTCATAGGCCGTTGTTTAAAGTGAGCAATTGACAAAGCAATACAATATACTCCATTAGTTTTGAATAAGTCTTTCTTGGGAGTATACATTTTACCGAAGGCAAGACTATTGTGAGGGCCATTTTCAGCCAAACCATTCATAAATTTCGCATAATGGACGTCCGTTGTGGTAATTGGTGTAGATCTAATGTTTCAATTTATGTAATTTTATGCTCGATACTAGTTGCCACTCGGGCAACTGTATCATTGAACACTGCCTAAAGCAGATAATGTTTTTAGTTAATCTTGATAAGAGGCCATGAAATGTAGTATTAATTTGAAATCTATGGAATACCTTAAATGTAAAATTCTTTCACGCAGATGCGATTGTAACCAGTTGAGAGATTTCTACTTTGTAGTCCTCTCATAAACACATTTGTTTATATATATATATATACCTCATTTAAATATTGACAGACAATAACAGGTGACCAATTTTCATGAACTCGGGGATCTTCGTAGTTTCTTCCATAAAAGAACAAATTTGAAAACACTTCCTAAACGCATTACAGCAAGAAATTTAAATGTAAAAAATCTCTTGCTGCAATCTGTATTTTAAAATATTTGCAATTTTTAAACATTTATATAGCAATACGTTTTAAATTACAGTTCTCAATTGGCGAAAAAGTAATACCACTTGGAGGTTCCCGATGTCTTGGACAATTTATGGTCACCTTAAAAAAGAAAATGTAGGTGCTTGCGTATTCATTTGCTGTTAAGGTGCAATACTGTATGCAATTCCAGGAAAATTATTTATTGTGGCGTTATATTGCCTATTAATCTACTGTTATTGGATGACATTTTTATACTTCAAAAGGGAAAAGTTGTTGAAATGTGTCTGTTCGGTGCCCTGGCATCTTTGCAGATTGATAAAAAAATTAAAATCATTAGTTATGGAATTCATAAATTTTCCATCGTAGCTGTAAAGCATTAACTGCCACTGTATTAAAATTAAGGCAACTTGTGTGCTTGTTCAACTTTTTGACCCATTGGAAAGAAAACATTATTTGTTGATATTTGAGAAGTGTATTATGACCAAGCACTTCCAATCTCGAGCTTATATTCTCAGTAGAAAGACTTTTGAAGTTGTTTTAAGAATATCGATATATATCTCACGTTCAGAATATTTTTCCATTTATTTCAACGCGAGACGAACGAACTTTGTTTTCGCACGACGGATATTTCATAAAATCTTTTTTGATAAGGACCTAAAAAAAAATGTTCTCATGAAAACTCTGAAAAATTAAAGCTTTGCACATCTGCAGGACGTTCGGGCACCGGAAATTTTCCTCTTTTCCTTTCCAAAATGCTTCGTGGAATCAGGTAACAAGGCGCCAAATATTTGCCTATCTGCCTGGTTTTGTTGCAGATTTCAAATGAATTATTTCATTACTTTATCAATGAGTATAAACATTTTTAGGGGCTGCTCTGTTATCACTAGAAATACATTACTCCATGATTTACAAACACAACTTGCTTCTGAAGTGGCATTAGAGCATAAATATACCCATTTACTTCTGTGAATATTTCAGAATCTCACTGCTTTATTTGAATTTAATGTTAACATTATGTTCCGCTTTTAAAAGGAACATTAAATTTTGGAGTGTTGGTTATAAATGTTAACAACTTGTACCTCTTCTACGCACGAACTTAGAATTATTAATCTTGAAAATTAAGACGAATACACTCATTCTAATTTTAGGAGTAATTTCTTTGTACTGGATTGCTTGAGCAGTAAGCGTAACTGGCATTAAGTCGATATAAGTATTTTTAGAAACTGATGAGAGTATTCCGGGAATAAATTAAAAATAATCTTCATATAGGTATCGTACTTATCCTTTTAATATACATAAGAGTGGCAGATTGATCACGTTAGCATGTAAGCTAAATTAACAATAAACCCTCCACAAAAAAATCCATTTACGAACATGCTTACTCTACGAATTTTTATACATTTTTTTAAATCTAAATGCTCTGTCACCTCAACTGAAACATTTGGGTCAATAAAGTTAGCAATCTTAAGTTGAGATGAGCTAAAAGCGCTAGATAGAATCCTAATTGTTGGAAAGTTAAGATGGAAGTTCGAAATTAAATTTTTCAGCAGGAGTGGTTTTTTTCCCTTGAGTTTTCATTTAACCTTAAACATGCTGTTCTTCAATAAACTTAAGTTTTGCATTCTGATTTTTCTTTTACTGTTCGATGTTTATAAATCTGCGAAATTGTTGCAGTAATTAACTATATTCTGTCTTAATATTAGAGATGTTTATTCACATATAACTGAAGGAACGTAAGTTAAAAATGATTCGCAGTCCAAGGATCCTGACAGCAGAATTTGCACACCGTTGCCGTGCTGTAACGTGGATATGCTTCAACGCTTATTGGTATTTAAACATTTAGGCAAAGACTTTACACAATAAGTCCTTTCAATGTCAAAAAGTATAACTTTTGCAGTTTGTGCGGATTTGAAGCCCTCATTTACTGGAAACTGAACTCGTAAGCATATCTGCGCAACGTAAGTAAGAACAACATTACCATTTTTCCTGCAATAAATATGAAATTTATATATAACGAGATAATTTTATTTCATTAAGCACCTAATTTAGATCTAAATGTTTTAATCTTATTTAAAAAATATAGGTGTGATGAGACTGCTGAAGAGGTATAAGTTGATTTCTCGTACAACATTCGAATGAAATGTCTCTTGAATAAGCACATATAGTTGGCCGATTTTATTTAGTTTTCTCCTCGCCGAAGTCAAAATGGACTGTCCAGCATCCAGTTTCACCCGCTGGCGATGAGATATATCATTCATGCCTCAAATCTTGCGCATCTAAATGCTATTGGCTCGTGACTAGACTATTTTATAATGATATAGCCTGTGTAAATGCTATATTTTTGCAAGACACGTGCATTTAAAAAAAATCCCTTCAAAAAAAAAAAAAAAAAAAACCGGTGGCTGTACAACTTGTCGTCATACCACGTTGGGTCAGTCTCAATGCAAGAATTTGTTGAGCACAATTGTTACTATTGACACCCAACCCACACCGTAAGGCTAAGCGAATTGTATCAGTGGTTGTATTTCTATTATTCTGTAGTACTAGGTGAATTATTTGTTTGATTGAAACTGAATTTTTCTCTTGACTATGAATCTCACCTTTGTCTTAGTGCTGTTTGATGTAACTCTTCTATTCTGGATATATTTTCACTTGTATTTGCCGGCCATTCTAGTTAATACTGATAATCGGCTTGATATTTTTCAACATTGTTCTTCACTTTTCTCTCTTTATATATATATCTATATATCCATGCTCTGTTAAAAGTACCTATTTAATACTCATGTATGTGTATTATGACTATGAATACATCATTCCGACAGTGTTATTTATTAAATATGTTGCTGCTGACCTCCAAGTAGGTATTACTAATGCCCTCATACTTTTGTATATTAGGAGAGACCTTATGAATGTAACCATTCATTGTGAGTTTGGGTCGGCAATTAGACATTTAACATTAAGTAGCCTCTTTGAACGTCATTAGGATAGTTTCGTGCTGTTTCTCGTGTTTGCTTTCCTTCGTGTAGATGTTCAGTTGTTGCGGAAAAGTATTTAAGCAAAATGTAGTTATTTAAGTAATAATAGCAATTTTTTGCTCGTGTAAACTGTTTGCTATTTATGAAGAATAAGATTGCTTGATTATACAAACAATGCTATTTATATTCCCGAGATGAACAAAACCTCGGGAAACGTTTGAGAGTGGTAGTTATTGTATATCCTATTGTATTATGTACTTAAAATTTATTGTTCTTTAATTTATTGAAAGAGAAATGAACGGTCAAAACAAGCTCGTCTAGTCATTTTTCTGGTGACTTGGTCCTTCACGTTGTGATGTATCCCTTCGCTAATTCAATTTTATAATCAAAAATTTCAAAATTTAACAACAAAAAAGAATTGATACTCGTTTGTTATTTGGTCTTATTGAACCAAAAAGAATCACGAAGAGGGAGCCAGTATTTTTCGAATCTGCTGATACTTAATAATGCTCAAACCAGTCTAGCAATAGATACAGTACTAAACGATACTAGTTGAGCGAAATTAGATAAAATTTGTTTTGCGTACCTATGTAAGCACTTGCATCTTTACTGGATTGCCTGTGATATGAGTAGCGCATACTAGATTGCATAAGTTCTTAAACGTCAGACAATGGAACAATCAAAATTAACAGTACAAATCAAATTAACTAAGCTGCTTATTCAGTATGAATAAGCTAATAAAGCTTGCTTATCAAACTACTCATATTTAAAAACATTTTCCCATGCGCCAACTTCAGTTGTTGCAAGGTTTATGCAATGTTAATGAAACACGTAATATGTAATAACGTGCCTTGCGACGTTACATAGTGATGTTAATTCATGCTTACTCATCAGATATCATAGCTGGGATTGGATAGGTTTCGAGAGGTAAATTTGTATACATAGTCACGTAATCAAAACTTGGATGGCCATCGTTTGGTATGTGCCTCTTCCATTAAGTAGGAAATCAGCTTCCGATCTTTTGCTACTTTAGCTTTAGCCTAGTATTATTAAAAGCGTACTGCGCTTTATTTACTACATTCCAAATGTAAAGAAACGTTGATTTAACACTGAAGTTATAGGTACGTAAGTAATAGAAACTTATGTTAGCCAAGCTAACACTCCATGCTTATCACATTCCAATGGATACTTTCATGCATTCAGAGGTGCTGCGCGTTTAAACATCATTCATTGCTAAAATTAGATGATGCAAGGGGCATTCAGAAAGCCTTATTGTCATATATAGAGCCAAATTGAACATATGCACACTATTTTCTATGCAGAACTTATGCACTTCAAATTTATACATTATTATGCATATATAAGAATATTTTGAAAGAACACATTGTAATATAAACTGAAATCAAGTACAAATATAATAATTTAAATTTGAGGGAAGGGAGTAACTAAAAATGCAGCTTATAGGTAAAACCAGTCATTGTCCCTGTATGAAATGTACAAATTTTTCCGCTTCTATACTTTTTTAACAAAAAGTGCTGCTCAGAACTTTCATTAGTCTCAGGATCTGAACAGGTGGTAGAGGTGCATATATTAGCGGTTGAAGAAAAATACTGGCAGTCCACGATACCTTCACCTAAATGGTAGAACCATTTCATCTCGTTCCCTGTGCGTCGTCATCTTAGGGACATTTGAACATTTGTGTGGTTGTAGCCTGTTTATTGCATAACCTCGGTTACGTATCTATTACCTCTATGCAATTTAACTGGAATGGCCTCTATTATTTTTGGTCACGATTTGCTGCTTTCCAAGGTTTTCAAAGCAATATTAAAATTTATGCCGTTGCATGGTGGATGAACTATCCTAGAGATAGTGTGAACAAGAGAATAATGCTGAGTTATATTGCAAAATGTGATATTGCATATCAGTATCAGTTTGAAAGCGTGTGCTAATTTTTCTTTTGCTTTGAAGTGCTACGTACTTTTCATGAAAAAGTTTTATTATGGAAACACGTTAAATTATTTCTAGATGAAAGCTAAAACCCTTTTTTTTTTTTTCAAAACCTAACAAATCTCAACACTTGAGTTAATATCCATTTAAAAATTCGGTTGGCATTTCCAGAATATGCCAGAAGTTTCTTTAATCAAACTTCAATTCAGAAACTAAAGGATAAATCAATATACTCTTTCTCAGAGTGAGATGAAATCGGCGGTACTCAACTGTGGTACTTCATGCACCATGCAATGAGCTATGGGAAAAATTAATTTACATTTCTCAGCTTAAACATAGTCACAATCCCTAAATACAATGAATTTTGGCCAAGGTATGAAATTTAAAGTGTTGCCAGTCTTTCTTTTATACAAATATATTTACATAAGTTGAATTTGCCAGTTTGGCACTGTCTCTGTAAAACATATGTCTATATGTGAGTTAAGAAGAGATTAAAACAGGAAAAAGTTTAAAAAGTAATTTTCAATTCGAAGGGGTTGCATGAATTCTATATATGTATTATAATAAAAATATATATATACATATATATACATACTACTTTTGACTTTGTAAAAATGACCTCGGCGGTCGAGTTGTTTCTTGGCGTAGTTTGATTGTAATGCAATATTTGTACTTTTCCATGTTGAAACTTAATAAATTTCCACCATCCTATGTCTGGAGTCTTTTATTTTGTCTTTACAAAATAAACATATATAATCACACCGTTTTAGCATTTACTGTACTAAAGGTTTTACCATTCGCCAGAACCATAGTCCAGTGAAAATTTTCTGAAGTTGTTGATATCGTGTAAAATTTCGACTAAATTGTAGGATATTCTTCAAGCATGAAACAGATTTTCACTGGTTATCGTAACACGAGAAAATAGAAAAAGGAATATTACATACAGAAACGTTTTTCCATTATAATTTATACTTTACCTCGAGTGCAAAATAAAAATTAAGAGTTTGTTGTAAAAATATTTCCTAAGACGGAACAATCCAACCCTACATCAAATGAATATAAAAGTCGCCCCTTCTGCATTCATACCTTGAAATATCTTGCGTTTAACCGAATTTGGAGTTAACTAGTTTCTTTTGCGACAACTTAAATGGTTGCGTAGGCATGTTGTCTGCTATGAAAAATTCATATTCCTCGGTAGTTCTTAATCTGGAACTTTTATTCCCATGATTCAAACAAATCTGATAAAATTCCTCTGAGCTTTATTAAATTTGTATGAAATATTGACAAAAGTATATAACACTATGAGGTAAGCTGCATGGTAAAAATCATCAGCACGTCTGAATGTAAAAGACCTTAATTCATATAAAATAGCAAATTATGAGGATCAAACTAATACACTGTCACGCATATTGATGGCTAAATTGTATAAAAATGGTTTACAATTTTAAAAACTTTAGGTTGAAAACTAGTTGAACACACTTTTATTATATTCAGATCGAGGAGAAAAAGAAAACTGTGGTAAAAGAAACCATTTACTTTCAGTTTATAAATTACCTTGCATTAACTAAATCTTTCAGCTCTTGGTTAAAACACTTGTTACAACAAATAAATGGTAGTGAATTGAAGAATGTTTTAACGTCATGTACCTCTTGGGAACTTCTGCGTTTCTTCCATCACTAACATTGGAATAATTCTACAACGCAATCATTTTCCTAGTATCCTGCGCGTTGAATTTTCAACAGTGACATCGTAAATCTGTGGAATCTATTGGAAATACTGAAAGAAATGGTAGGTAATTAAATGACGATAGAAACTGCATAAGCAGTGTTTATTAGAAATAAAATCAAAACTTTATAACATTATGAACTCCAAAAAGAATCTTTTCTTGTGGTCAAATCTCGCCAGAATTTAAGTTTGGTGGTCTCCAGGCGAAGTAAACACAGATGACCTCATGCGATGTTTTAAAAATTATATCTATTGTTTCCAAAACATATCCCAAACTGTGCTGTTCGCTGAAGAAGAATTAGCTAGCCAAAAATGATGCACATGAATTGAGAAATGATATTGAAAAGCAGTCTTTTAAGGATCAAAATCGAATAATGCGTATTTGAAGGAATTTTATTTAGGGTTATTAGGAAAGCTGACTACATCTTTTATTTAAATAATTATTTTAATTATAGGCATGTACTTCCAATAACTGAAATCCTCTGATTATCCACATATAGAAAATATTAAAACAATATCTGCTGTTGATAGTAGGAATGTTTTGTAATTACTGTACAGCATATGGTTTGCGTATTTTCCGTAAAGCAAATAAGTAATAAGAAAATGTTAATTATGCTTCAAAGAGTTAAATTTAAATTTTGCCTTTTATGGCCAAAATTTGCGAATATATATTAAAAAGCATATCTTATAACTTAAATCACAACTGCAGGTGTCCAACACAAACAATTTTAGGAATTATATAATCGAAATAAAAGATCATATAAAACATCTGCTCTTTATTTTCATCAGATAGTTGAAAAATGTAATTATAACACCTGCTTAATGTACCAGCTGTTAACGCAATTGCGTAGTTATGTTAGTCATCCGATACTTCTTAGAAAACTTGTTGTCTCATTCTCGATGAATCCGTGCCTGTTAAGATCGTAGGTTATCTGGAGCTGTATTGTAAACATAACATTAGTAAATATAAAAAGAAATCTAAGGGGAAGATCTTGATAAAGTGGTACATTTTCACTCCTTCGATGCGGATATTCTTCATTCATTCACACTGATGCCACTAAGTACCGCTGAGGTAGAGCTTAGCTTGATTGTAGACACTAACACTAGTTACATGCAAGTGATTCATAAATTTCATAATTGCTTAAGGGCTGAATATTCGGTTACAGTCAGCGGGTGGTACATACTATTTGCGCTGCTCGAAAACTGACAACAAAACGTACTGTGTAACATATTTCTAGAAAACTATAGAATAGATTTTTCTCAAGTCGGGTCCACTGCTGCGAAACAGAAAGGAACTCAGAACAGGTTGATCTGGTTTCATATTCCAAGGAAAGAGCTGATGCACAAGTGCTTTTATAGTAAAGTAAATATCATCTAATTTTTCTTAGAAACTCCTACCTGAAGGCATCATTTTCTTATATAGATAGCCGTTGTGTACTTTGCAGTATTCAGTCAAACAAGCAATCGGAGAATCTAATAATTCTCATTTTGACAATTTATGCTACAGTTTTGAGTAAACCAACGTTCGTCAGTCAAAAGGATATTCTCAGGAAAGAATGTAGAATGCCTTCTTATGTTTTGCTGTGAAATAACTTTACGTAACCTATAAAACGAGGTCAAATATTTCAATCCAGGAAAGAGTTATGGAAGAATTCCTTATTTAACACCCAGTTGCAGAAGTACAGATGACGCTGACAATCTTGATAAAGGTATGAATACTATGTGGATTCTTTTATTTTACAGAAGCTTTTATCACATCAAGGCTGGTTTAGGATTTCCACATGAGGGCCTCCCGTCATACATAAAAAAAACTGAATTCTCTCTGAAACAGTACTTCTCACTTGAAATTTTTTAAATCTTTCACGCAATAAAATTCCATTTCAGCAATAGGTTGATGGCAATGTGATAAAATCTTCAATAATAGAATTGCACCTTTCTATATTTTTGATTTAATTGACGATATTTTTACAAAAATAACAGCAATTTTACAAAATTTTATTTAATTTTACAACAACAACAAAAATCACATTTGGCGTTTCATTGGCAGAAAGTTTAGGACTTTACCACAGCATTACCGCCTCGAAATTCGTTCAGACATAATGATACAATATCGGTATATCCAAACATGGTCTTAACTGATGCTACCGAACTGAGCGATATCTGTAAATATATCGGTTGCTGCTGCAATAATAATCTCAGATTTGAAAGTCGTTAGTGTTGAAGGAAACAACGCTGGAGAGCTGGGAACAAAGATAAAATTCCGCATGAAAGCACGATTTCTTCTTAAATGTTTCAGAGAAACTAACAAGTTCCGTTTTTTACCCAGTATGAAATAGGTTATATCCGCTTCTCTACATATTTTTTCTTCTAAGATTTGCATATCTTGGGAACAGGGAGATCCAGACCACTAGGTTTCCCATTGACTAAGGAATATATCTGAAGCATCCTCAAAATACTGGCTAAATATTTAAAAGACTTATCATTAAAATTCCAGCCTCAATCAACAATATCATGAACAAACTAGCAGATGAAGGCACAGACTTATCTTGTGTCAAGTAACATTAAAAGAACATTGAATTTCTTTAACTAATAGCTTTTTTGATATGCTAAAATAGTTCCTTAACAAAATATGGTTTTAGAATTGTATTTATTACCATATTTTAGTTTTGTATTGCGAATTATATTAAGATTGCATTATTTATTCAAAAATAATTGTATTAGGCAATATTTTAGACTATAATTATGACTACATTTAAGACTAAACTGTTTTAAGACTAAATTTTATGTGTTACTGTACGCTAAGGCGGTGAGAAAAAAATAAAATTTGTGTAATTGAAATATACTTCCCCTCAAAAGTTGTTCATTGACTAATATGTCACCCGTGAATTTTTCCAAAATTTTTCTACATCTCCATCTTCATCAACATCATTCCCAAGATATGCAAATCTACTTCCTCTCTGCAAGAGACTTGAAATTTGGAAATTTTATATTTAATTCCCATATTTCTACCAAATTATTTCAATATTATTTTTACTGCAGACTTGCAGCAGTAAGAAGGTAATGCATTATGTGAAATATTATAAACTTTCCTCTTTTAAAGTAACAAAACTAAAATAATTTTCACGTGTACAATAAAATTACTGTTACTTCAAAAAATTAGTTTTACGGCATAAAATATATACAACATAAGTTTTATTATAAAATTGAAGCTGGCCTGTAGGCGTAATAGCAAACCGCACATTGCGTTGACCAGTGTTAACGAATTTCTCTTATTGGGTATGCTCAGTGGTGCACGGTTGGCGTGGGAGGAAATATTGGCGATTCCGGGGGGGGGCAGAAGCAACCTTACACAAGTCTGTTTTACTGGTTACAATTGCAATAGTACGGAAATTTGTTGTGTGCTTATTGCATGTGCTTCTGTTTCATTTCATTTTGGTTTATTTTGTTTATAAATATTACATTTATTATCAGTTAATTGACTTTAATTCAGTAATTAAACTGGATTTATTCTTTAATTTGTTAAAGTATATACAAATTTAACGTACGATAAGTAATTAGTTGATTTTATTACTCAGAAATATAATCATTCGGCTAATATATCTTGTAATGTTTCCTGTTTTGTAATCCTTCTTAAACGAAAATTTGTGTAGTTTCAATTGATATTTACACTGTAAGTAATGAAGCAACTTACAACCTAATAAGCTTTAAGATCCCGACCTGTTTGCGCCCACGGAACACAATATCAACCACATACCGTATTTATCTTCTTTCAAAATGGCGCCAAATTTTATTTTGGGCATGCGTAGTAAGCGAAATTCGTTTAACTTTGATCAACTCAATGTGCGGTTTGCCATTACGCGGTCTGTAGGGACCGAGTTCGCAATCTACAGATAGATTGTATCAGCAAGAGTAGAGATTGCGTCATTCGGTTTCCTCTTGTGTGGGAAGACGCGGTTAGTCGTCCCTGTCGCTCTACTCGATATGCC